ATAAAATTAGTAGAAAATGACATGAATACCATTATTAGAACATATTCCATAGGTTCAAGATGCCAGAGGTGAGACCAAGCACTGAACATGGTACACACACACCAAGGTGAACTTCTAGAGATGAAACTACAATATGTGAAATGGAAAATACACTGGATGAGGTTAACAGCGGATGAAATACTGCAGGAAAGATTAGTGACTTTAAAGGCAGGGCAATAGAAATTATCCAAAATGAAACACTGAAAGAAAGACTGGCCAGGAATGAAACAGAGTAGCCATTAACTGTGGACAAATTCAAGTGCCTGATATGTTTGTGATGCAGTTACCAAGGCAGAAGAGAGGGGAGAGGCACAAAGACGATCTGAAGAAATAATGGGTGAAAAATTTCCAAATCTGATAAAAACTACAAACTCACACACACACACACATACATACAACAAAACAAACAAATGTAATGAAACTGGAGGACAAAACCCACGAAGAAAACCACATCATAGCACATCATAATCAAACTGCTTAAATCAGAGATAAAGATAAAATCTTAAGAGCGGGCAGGGATAAAAAGACACCGTGGATACAAAGGAATAAAGATAAGAATGACAGCAGACTTTTGATCAAAAACAACATAAGCCAGAAAACATTTTATTAGGGGTAAAAAAAAGAACACATTCATTTAGAAATCGAAACTTAGCAAAAATATCATTCAAAAACAGAGATAAAAAATATATATTTTTTAGATATACAAAAGCTGAAAGAATTCATCACCCACAGACCTGTGCTTCAAGGTCCACTGAGGGAAGTCCTTCAGGCAAAAGGGAAATGACAGCAAGTGGAGATGTGCATTCACACCGAGGGCTGAGGAGTCCTAGATATGCTACCTATGGGCTCAATATGAGATGTTGGGTCTTATTGTTTAAACCTATTGAAAAGGAAATTTGCTGGAAAATGTGGTAAAAACATACAGTGGAATATACAGGACAGAGATTCTGACACGTGCTACAACATGGCTGAATCTGAAGGACATGATGCTCTCCGTGAAATAAGCCAGTCACCAAGGACAACCATGTGATTGCATTCACATGAGGTCCCCAGAGCAGTCAGATTTACAGACGGAGAAATGGAATGGTGGTTGTAGGAGGCAGGGGGTGAGGGGAATGGGAGCGGAGGGTGCAGAGTTACATTTCCGCAAGATGGAAAGAGTTCTGTGGATGGAGGGTGGTGATGGTTGTACAATGTGAATACAGGTGACCCTTGAACAGTGCAGTTTTCAACTGCGTGGGTCTAGTTATACATGGATTTTTTTCCATAAATACACAGTGGACTCTCCGTATTCATGGGTTTCGTATCCACAGATTCAGCCAACCATGGATTGAAATTTCTCTCTGTGGTTGGTTGAATCTGTGGCTGTGGAACTATGGAAACAGAGGGCCAACTGCACCATACCATCCTATCTAAGGGACTTGAACATCCATGGATTTTGGTATCTGCAGGGGCTGCTGGGACCAATTCCCCCACGGATACCAAGGGACTGAATGCCTCTGAACGGTACTCTTCAAGTCAGATGGTTGGTGGTCAGTTTTATGTGTATTTTACCACAATTTTAAAAACAGAGGAAATTGCCTGCTTAAAGCAAAAATAATAACAGCATATATGGGGCGTATGGGAAATATGGGGGTGGAAGATCCACAGCACCATGGGTGGGGAGAATGGTGGTGAGCTGCTAGGAATGGTGGCCAGTGGTGAGGTGAAGACCCTATTAGAAACCCTAAAGCAACCACTCAGATAACCTCACAAGCAGTTATTCCTAATAAGCAAACAGCAGGTAAAATAGAATCATAAAAAAAAAATGCTTCTGTCCACCTTAAAGGCCTGGAAGCAGTAACAGCCCAGTAGTAGTGACCACAGGTGTACACAGATACCAGAAATTATCAAAGCGTGTGCTTTAAATGGCAGTTATACTCCAACAAAGTTGTTTAAATAAAAGCAGGATGAGCTGCTTGCACAGGTGAGACCTCCTGGGCGGGGTGGATGTCACATCTCTCCACGTACCCCCTTCTCTCCTTCTGCAGCAGTAACGACATTGTGCGCTCTGACATTAGGTGTGGCCATGTCACTTGCTGTGTCCCGCAAAATGTCAATGAAAGCGATTCTATCAGTTCCTGAAGGGATCCTCACGAGCTAATGCATGTGGTGCCCAAGAGACAGCAGGAGCATGTGTGTTGCTGAGACTTGGGGCACCATGGGTCTACCAATGCCAAGTGGAGCTGAGCCTCTGCCAGCATGAGTGCAGCAGGCAGTCTGAGTGAGAGATGAACTGCATGTATGTTGGGACACCTTTGTTACTACAGCTAACTTAGCCCATCCTGACTGAATAGCCCGATACCACACAGGTCCCATTACAGTGGAAGTTCTGTTCGGCACTAGAAGGCAAACCTGTCCAGTGGCCTCCGAGGTCTCTTCCACCTTGAAGACATGAGTTACATGTCACAAGTGTCAGCAGCCTGGGTGTCTAACTCAGGTACCCTTTCAAGCCTCCACCGACCTGTGCAGAACTCGGTGCCTCTCACAGCATCACCCAGGTATTGCTGAGTCCCCGAATACTCAGACACAAGTTGGCTCCTGTCCCCCACCTCCTTCAGTTGTCAAGGAAAATCACAGTGACACAGAGACTGTGACCAGTGCCCCCCGCCAAGACTGGCTCTGCCAAGGATGCCACGTCCCTTTGTTCCCAGTGTCACCGCCCCCCAGAATGTCAGGGTCATGCTGGATTCTCATCCCGAGCCCTTCTCATCCCTCCAGGGGACCAGGCCGCCGTTCTAGGTCTGACCCTTGTCTAGGAGCCCATCTGTCCCCACTGGTTCCTCCAGAGATACAGCTGCCCCTACCCATGTGGGCCTCTGCCAGTCCTGGGAAACAGGACTCCTTGTGAGGCTGGCAGCCCCTGAAGCTCCTAATTGCTCGTTAAATGTGACACACTGCCAGGGAGCAAAAAGTAAAGTACCAGGTGCTTCCAGGCCCCACTGACCTGAGGAGGGGTGTGGGCAAGACCTACTTTGGAAGAAATCCTTCTCCCTTCATTTCCATTAGACAAATTTCCGATGTGCCTAGGATTTTGGAAGGCTCCCCTGAAGAGAAAGGAAAAAATAACTGGAGAGAACACAAATTAATTTTGCAGTAAGTTTGCCTTCCACACAATCAACAGTACCTCAGAATCAAAGCAGTCTCCAAGAATATTTAGGAGAAATGTATTTTCTCTCAAAGATCCAACGCTGCTGAGATGCAAATCATCTTTCACATTGTTATTCGAGGAAGTTGGGCTCCTTCCAACCTCAGCTCTTGAGTACTTCCCTTTCAAGTTGCGATATTCGGCTTTGTATTTGCAAACTAGAACAAAAATGGCTTCTCCAGGTGGTTTTTCCAAAACAAAGTCTTTTCCACAGGCCTATCTAAGCATTCGTTTTCCACAGTAAAGAAAACTGCTCTCAGCCTTGAAACAGTCACTTAATTTCTATCACCCTGTCCAGGTTTCACAAATCATGAGGTCCAGTTTCGATAACTCAGTGATTCCTTTCTTATTACCCACAGAAGTTCCTGACAGGAAGAATACTTAGATGTAAAGAATGGGATCACTGTCTTTCTTCTGAAATAGCTCTAATCAGAGTCAGTCTGCTATACGCAGGAGTGCAAATCAAACCTAACTTGCACAAAGCCAAATGAGAAAACAACAAAAGTGTCCCAGCCACTGAACAAGGGATATATACAAAATAATTCCAGGAAATTACAGTTCTCACCACATTTCAGGATGGGGCCTCCTCTGTGATTTAGTAGCAAGGATATCTATTTTCTGCTAGCATCAGACAGAAGAGTAAAATGCCGAGCCGGATAGCCTCTGGAGAGGAGGGGAAGATCCCGGGGAAGGTCTGATGCCAATTTGGAGGACAGAGCCAAACAGGCTTGAATAAAATGCATTTCCTGGCATTTTCCCCACCATCCAAGTCGCTTGGGAGCTTAGCCAGGGCATATTTTTAGTATTCTACTGTGTCTTTTGAACAAGGTTGGGTCTTATGAGATACCACGTGGCCCTGGTCATGCTCCAATGGAGCAAAATCCCAACCAAAAATCTCTTCTCAGTAAATGTTTATCGCTGCATTTCCAACAGAAGGGGATTCTGAATTCAGTTGTGCTCCTTAAATCAAAATATTCAACCCACGACTCATACCCGTAAAAATGCGTCCGCGGCTGAGAGCCCAGAGATGCTTCCTGCCCAAAGGCCACATTCCCTAAAGTGAGGTGCAGGGGGGCCAACGTCTACAGTCTTCTGGGGACTTTTTGGAACCGGTACGTCCTAAGCTTCTGTCAGTTTCCCTCAGACGCCAGCTCGGCCCCAGCGGTGACGGCCCAGGCAGGTCAGCCTGCCTCCCCGCCCGCAGGGCTTGGCCTCCAGCTGGACACCTGGGGCCACGCACGGCCTCCTAGTTACACATTCACCCCGTCCCCGGGTTGATCATTCCAGCGCGGAGGAAGTCCTTCCCCGGCCGAGCGCCCCAGATGACGACGACCAAGCCTTTACCGAGGCGGCCAACCTGGCAAAGCGCTGCCTTCCTCGCCAGTGCAGGAACTTTGCCTCCTCTGCGCGACAAAGGACCCCGCTGTCCCAGCCCCTGTGCCCACCCCGTCACCCCCAGGCCTGCGGACCGCCCTCCCTTCGCCGCGCCCCCGCGCCCCGCCCTCCCCGCGCGCCGACCCGGATCCTCGGCGCCCATCGGCCCTCCCCGCCCCGGCCTCCCCGCGCGCACGCGCGACCACAGCGGGGGCCGGGCCTCGCGCCCCTTCCCTCCTCCCCTGCCCCTTCCCTCCTCCCCTGCCCCCTCCGCCGCGTCCTGACCGGTGGGGGGCGGGGCCGTGCGCCTGCGCGGAGCGGACAGTCTGGCGGGGCCGCAGCCGCGGAGTGGCAGGCAGTTGCCGAGGGGACCGCGGGCCCCTCCCTCCTCCGGTCCTCTGCCCGTGGCGTTCCCCACTTAGGCGCGGCCGACGACCCGGCTTCCCTGCCGCCGGCCCGGCGGAGCTGCAGACGGTGTCCCGCGAGAGGCGGAGCCGCTCCCAAGATGTCGCAGACGGCCATGTCCGAGACCTACGGTACGAGGCGGGGGCGCGGGCCGGGGCGCGGGTTCCCGGGCTTGCGGGCCGG